TTTGAGGAGCTCCCTCTACAGTGTGACAAATAGGCAATTTATTCACCATTTACTTATTCAGGAAGCACGCATCAAGAGTCTGCCATGTGGCCAGGCACAGCTGGGTATTAAATATTGACTGGTAAAACAGAAAACGTGCCTGTGCTCAGAAGCATAGACACAAGGGCACATGTGTACAGCGATGGATGGCAACGAGACTTTGGGTGGTAAACACAATGTTGTCTACACAGAAATCGAAATATAATGATGTAGACCTGAATTTTATATAGTGTTGTAAATCAATGTAACCTCAATAAAAATTAATTAAACACATTTTAAAAAAGAAGCATAGCATTGAGCTGGACGGATTTGTAAATGCACCAATATATGATTGCATTCTCTCTATAAACGTTGCGAAGGGAAAGAACAGGGCTCCATGCTTGCGAGAACAGGGGAGCGATGTGTAAGCCCAGAACTAAAGGATGAGAAGGGACCAGCAGTAGTGCAGACTGTAAGGAAGAGCATGCCAGGCAAAGGGAACAGGAAGTGCGGAGGTCCCCAGGTGGGAAAGATTTTGAAGAAGTAATGATAATGTCATGTGGTAAGTGCTGAAATGGACATGTGCGTCGAGCGATGAGCATCTCAAAGGATGGGGCTGATTCTTGTCTTCGCAGTTGAGTTAGGAATGGCTTCACCAAGGAGGGCATGTGTGAGGTGAGTCTTGAAGGACAAGCTGTAGTTAAGTGGATAGAAAAGAGGGGAAGGAGGGGGCCAGCCCCGTGGCCGAGTGGTTAAAGTTCTGTGCACTCCGCTTCAGTGGTCTGGGGTCCGTGGAGGCACAGATGTTAACTCAGGGCCAATCTTCCTCAAACAAAAAAAAAAAAAAAGAGGAGGAGTGGCAACAGATGTTGGCTCAGGCTCAATCTTCCTCACAAAAAAAAAAAGAGGGACAGGACGGGGAGCTGTTTGTACAGAGGCATGAAGTCATGAAAGAGCTTGGTGAGGTAGGTAAGTTGAGTGTGTGAGAAAGTAGACTTTAGAGTTTATAGTGGAGCAGGAATAGCAGGAAACAAAACTGGAAAGGTAGTTTGGGGCCGTTTGTTTTATGGAGGAGAGTTTAAGCTGTTTGCTGAGGCTCGTGAGGAGCCCCCGAAGGTCGTGCACAGAAGAGGGTTGAAAGTCTGACTCTGGCAGCAGTGTAAGGCAGACTGAAAGCCTGTAGGAAGTACAGGCCCCGTGTTACACCAATTCCGTGTGCAGGAATTTATTCTCCAGAGATAGCAGTGAGCACAAAGACGTGTGAGTAATGAGCTTCCAGCAGTGCTGCTCAAAGAGTCAAAAATATTAAATTATGGTATATGCATACAATAGAAAATAGCGCCACCATTAAATGACATGGGCGTGCAAACTGCATATGATATAGTAAATAAAAACTTTCTAGTGTGATATATTATATGACCGTATTTTGCTTTAAATTACACACACACACACACACACTCAGAGGGAAGTTTCTGAAGGAGGTGTGATATACCATCATTTTAATGGTGGCTGCCCCTAGGTGAGTGGGATTTTGTGAGTCTCATATATTTTTTTTCTGATCTTTTTTAATGAATTTTTTTTTTTTTTTGCATTAAGAAAACATACAAAAGAAGAAAAAAAGTCTATTGACATTCTAGGGAAGAGGGGTGCAAGCCCAGATTACGGTCACAAGGATATTTAGGAAGAGAAGAGAAGAGTTGCAAAAGGAGATGGAATTGCCAGGACTGGGGGACTGAAGGACGTAGGGTTAGGGAGAGGGGCAAGAAGAAGATTGGACATGATGTCTGGGTTTCTCACCTGGACCGCTGGGTGGCTGGAGGTGCCATCCTCCAGGATGGAGAGCCGCAGGGGAGAAACAGGTCTGGGTGGAAAGGCAAAGCTTCTGATCTTCAACATGTTGAGTCTGAGATACCTGTGGGACGGGCAAGGGGAAATGCTTGGCAGCTTGGTTTGGATCTAATGAGAGAGGTGAGCTCTGGAGACTGGTCTGGAAGTGAGCGATACAATGATTGGGAGTGGACAAACTCACCTGGCAGAAGTGTGTCTTGAAAGAGGTGGGCTGAGGATGTAGGCATTCCAGGGTGGCTGAGAAGGAGGAGCCAGCAAAGGCAAGGAGAGGACTGGTCAGAGAGAGGAGGGGATCCAGGGTGGTGCCAGGGAAGCCAGAGGCAAGCAGAGTTTCAAGAAGGAGGGAACGGCCATCATGGTAAATAGCCCACAGATACTTTAAAATGGCTTCCAGAAAGTGCCCAGAAGTTTCCGGTGTGGGTTCTGCTTATTTTCACAAGATCCTCAGACACATTTCCTCGGGATGGGAGTCGGGGTTAGGAGAGGACAGGAAATTCTGCTGCTAGTAAGTATGTCTTCTGAACAACCAGGTGATGGCATGGAGGGAGGACAGGCCCAGTGCCAGAAGGCGAGAACAGAGACTAGAGCTGGGTTCCTAGGCCCCGAGTGAAAATTAGCATCACCAGTGCCATTCTTTTCTCGTGGAAGACCTGGGGCGAGTTGGGGGCATGGGACAACCTTCTGTAGGATGAAAAGATGGATTTAATGAAATATATTCCTTGTTCACATCCTTGGGTGGATGCAGAATTTATTCAGTGCTTTCTGCAAGGATCTTATAGGAGATGAATCCATTAATTGCTGCCAGAAATGAAGTGAAAGAAACAGAGCCCGTCGGCATACGGGGACCTAGAAGGAATCCCCAAATAAGCTGCATGTTATAAGGGTTATAACTCAGAATCTCCGCCGTGCCAGCAGTCTCGGGGCTGAGATTTCACTGCTGCTGGTGTGGGTGTTGGCCCTGGAGTCTGACTTCCTGGGTTTTAATCCAGGCTCCCATGGGGCATAATGCTCACCCGTCTATTTTTCAGTCTCCTCTCCTGTGAAATGGGAATATTCATAGTCACTGTGCTTCCAGTGAGCTGTGAGGATTAAATGGGTCAGTCACCTCAGCGTTTGAAAAGCTCTCACACTTGGCATAGTACTTGGGGAGTAGACGGCCCCCAGAAAATACTGGCTCCCGATGTCTTCCTGTGGTATCATGAAACTCCACTGCTTTCACCGTCCAAGAATGAAGGGATGGGGGAAGTTGAGGCACGACTGTCATTAATTCGGTTGGGATCCACAGGAGGAATGATAGGTGAACATTTGTCCCCTCAGGCTAGAAATGCTTAGTTTTCTAAACTATGTGGGAAAGAATGTAATGTACGGATTTAAAAGCAGACAAGTCCAGAATAGTTTTCCAAAGTGCATGTTGAGGTTCCTTTGAAATTCGGGGGCCCATAATGGGATGTTAGAGTGAGAGCAGTTGGATACGGAATTGAAGAGTAAGACTAAGGAGTGAGGAAGAGGGCAGTTCAGAACAGAAGAGAGAAAACAGGAGTGGCTATCTTGTGTAGACAGAGAGGTGGAAAATATACAGCGAGAGGTAACACCCCGTCTGAATCTGGGTTACAAAGCAACGGCAGAGAGTTGCAGAATCTGGGAAGAGACTGACAGAGTTTTCAGAGAAATTGTCTAGTTCCGCAGCACGCCTCATTCTGAAATCACGGCCCCAGACTTAAGCGCGTCTTTCTAACTCCGCTGCCACCCACCCACTAGCAAACGCATGTGTAACTTCTGTCTGCCTGGCCCTGTTCTTAGTACCTAAACTCATTGAATCCTCGTCACAGCCTCATGAGGTAGGTACTGTTATTGTCCTAATTTTACCGATGGGGTAACTTAGGCACAGTGAGATACGGCCGATAGTAAGTGATGGAACTTACAACCCAGAGCCCCGGGCCACACAGATAGTAAGTGACAGATCCAGGGCAAACCCAGATGGCCCGCTCTGAAGTCCAGGCTTGTCACCACTGGAAAAGCTCCAGATGCCATCGTGATGGCAATTAGGTAATGAGTGTCCCTTACCTCAGATGCCGAATCTCTTTAAATGTCTAGCAACGATGCTGTTTAGAGAAAACAGCACTTTCTTACAATATCTGGTCGATTGTTTTAGAAACTCTTGTCCAGGCTCCTAGAGTTTTTCTGTTTTTCATTTCATATGGCTCTTTCCTCTTTGCACAAGTCATGTGTGACTTCACGGCACACTTTTATCCATCAGCGTCTCCAGAACGCACCTGTGTCACCTCTTTGCTTGGCTTGAACTGTCCTGTTTATCGTCTTTGCTCCTTCTCAGAATGCCCTCTCTAGTCTCTCAAGCTATCCGGTTTCTTTAAGGCTCATCCTCAGATTCCTCCCTCTCTGTAACGCTGGCCCCCGTCACTCCAGCCCACGGTTTTTTCATTCTCCTTAAATTCCTATGGAATTTATCATTTGTACCTTTAATCTTGTAATTCATGAAATGCCCATACATTCATTAATTGATTCATTCATTCGCTAGACTTCTCTCTAGCGCCTCCTGTGTGTCAGGAGTTCTCCTACATGGCGGGTGACGTGAAGATGGAGGGAACCTGCTTACAAAGAGCTCCCAGTATTGTAAGAGAAGGAGATAGAAAGCAAAGAAGCATGACTGGGCCATGTGCGCTTTATAATATGAGAATATCGAGGACAGTCACAGCCTAAAGGAGAGAGGCTCAGCTCTCTTTGGAGGAGTTAGAAAAGCTTTCGAATAGAGAAGATAGCTCATTAACTGGGTTTGAAGAATGACTGGGGCCTTGTCGGGTGAAAAATGGGCATAAGGCAGTAGGGGAGAACATTCTAGGTCAAGAGAAGAGCAATGGTGAAGCTACGGAGGCCTGAAACAGCATATGACATTTCGTGTGTTAAACACCCATTCATGTCTTGTATAAAATTGTAACGAGTTTATGCCAGTTTTTTTCCAGCTAGGTGACAAAGCTCTTTGACATTTATCCAGTCCCTTTACATAGTAGGCACTTAATTTTAACCCTGGGATTGTTGCTGGTGTGCAGTTTCCAAGCCAGGGGACGTGTGGACTGATGTGGTTGGAAGTGACTGGTTTTCTTTTTCTGTTTGTCTAGACCAAGGATGCTCTCTTCACGATTCTCCATGACCTCCGACCCCAGGACCATTTCAATGTCATTGGATTTTCCAACCGGATCAAAGTGTGGAAGGACCATTTGGTATCAGTTACTCCCGACAGCGTCAGAGACGGCAAAGTCTACATTCACCACATGTCGCCCACGGGAGGTAAATATGAGTCCTTCTTCTCACGTTAGCTTCAACGTGATAATAAGCAAGTAGCTACTTTTCTGCCAAGAGATGGGGATTTGAAAACTGAAGCCGAGCACAGGAAAGGAGATAAGAGGTGAGAGCTTTCCCAGGCGCTTATGTTTCTCTGCACACCAAATCTGTAAATTCTCCTCTTCCAGGCCCCAAACAAAGATGGTCAAGTAAGTTATGGGGGAATGCCTGATAGGTTTTGGAGGCTTTCCTGGCCTAGCTCACGGGTCCTGAACAATGAAGCTGTTTTTGTAAATTGTTATTGGATGTGGAGTTAAAGCCAGCTAGATGATCCGTGTGCTTGAATATTAGCACCTTAGGAAGCAGCGGGTGGGAATGCCCTGCTGATCCACCAGTCCTCTTGGCTGGGCTGTCGCAGAGTAAGTGGAGCAGGAATCCCAGATGGCCTGGGAGGTGCTGTGTTTGAAAAGCGTGATGGGCTCTGAGTCTTTGCACCCTTGGCTTGGGTATGGTGTCCAGGTGAGTGTGCAGAGGAGGGAAAAGGTCATAAAGAATTCTAAGAGAGCCAGCCCTGATGGCCTAGCAGTTAAAGTTTGGTGCACTCCACTTTGGCAGCCCGGGCCAGGTTCCCGGGCACAGAACCATACCTCTCGTGTGTCAGTAGCCATGCTGTGGCAGCGGCTAACATGGAAGAGCTAGAAGGACTTACAACTAGGATATACAACTACGTACTGGGGCTTTGAGGGGGAAAAAAAAGAATTCTCAGATTAGAGAATCAGAACAGGTGACCCAAGTGTGCTCAATATAAATTCCTCCAACTCAGGACCTTGCTGTTATTTCCATCTCTAGTTCAGTGGACACATGGCAGGTGCTTGGTTTTGGAGTGTTTATTGGAGCTGACCCTGACCTCCTCCCCCTTCTCTTAAAGGCCCTTTCCAGAGACGCCATCTCCTGGAGCTGTTGTCTCAGTTAATTCTGCTTTGGTTATCTGGAAACATACAAAGGCCCAGTTCAGTCTTCTTCCATCTGAGATTTTTCATCTTTCGTATATTCATTATTTCCTAGCCAAAAAGCTCTGATTTCCCAAATCTTGCTTGGATGGAATTTTGACTTATAATGGGATTTCCTACCAGTCTCCACAACAACATGATGTAGGAACTGCTTTACTGGCGGATGGGAGAAATAAAAGATAACATTTAATATTATAGCGATGATCTATGGCAGGAAGTTGACAAGACTGTAAAGTCCTTGAGGAAAGAAGCTCTTCTTCACCTTTGTAGCCCCTAGTTCCTGGCATAGCTCCTGACATACAGTGCATGCTCGATGAATATTTGTGAAGTTGAATTTATTTTAATAGTCCTGCTTACTATTAGAATGATGTTTGTGGGGAGGGTATAAAGCTTTAGAAAATAGTTAATGTGTATTATGTTCTTTTGGAATCTAAACCTTGGAAACCTTATTGGTTTCCTTTATTTTTCCTTGGCACTTCATCACCCCAGCCTCTGCAAGAGAACAGAAATTAACCCGTCACCTTGGAGAGGGGTTGCATTAGAGGTGAAGCATAGATTCTGGAGCCAGACTGCCTGGATTTGAATCCAGCTCCACCCTCCATGAGTCATTTAACCTCTCTATACCTCAGTTTCCTCATCTGTAAAATGGGGTGGTGAATGGAGTTGTTATTAGGAGGAAATGAGATAAAATATTTAAAGTAATTAGAACAGCAAGTGGCGTATAGGAGGTCCTCTGTAAGTGTCAGATATGGCCATTTGTACCCAAGTAGTCCTTCTTGCTGCTGCCCTTGGATCCTTTGATGACCCCAGGTAAGCTCTCTGTGGAATGGTTGGGACAGCTCTGTGGGACTTTCCCTGTGGAGAGAGCCTGCCTGTTGTTAAGTGTGTGGGAGATGCACTGGCTTAACATAGGTTCGATTCCCACCTGTGCCTTTGGTGCCTGCTATTAGGAAGGCTAAGTCCATCCGTTTGCCTGGGCTCTCCTTGGCTTTAAAGTGGAGGGAGCAATCTGGCACCATTGCTAAGTTCTAGATTAAAGAGAAAATAAACATCTGCCTTTTAGTCCATGCCCACACATCCAGAGGCAATGTGAAACCAGCCTGGGCGTTCAGAAAGGCGAGTCAACGAGCCCAAAGAAATGTTAAATACTGTTTCAGCTGTAACTTTCCCTTACGTTCGGACTCTGTGTACATCTTAGAAAGAATTATCCATGTGTTTGTGCAGACGTGGACATATATGTTTTTTCAGCCAGAAATTCTGAGGATGTGGAGCAACAGGGGAAATGTTTAGTTCCCCCAAACATGGTACATTTTGCGGGTAGATAAAGATCACTCCAGTCAGGGCGATAGATTGTGGTGATGGGTGTACAACTTCGTAAATTTACTAAAAATGATTTATTGTGTACTTAAAGTGAGTGAAGCTTTTAGTATGTAAATTTCATGTCAATAAAACCATGGGAAAAAACCCCACTGGAGTCAGAAAGGGCAGTAGTGTTCACAGTCACAGTAAGAACTCGTGGTTTCACGTGGTGATGGTAGAACAGCGACAGCAGAGTGGAGTGAAATTCTTAGCTAGTCCAGAAAGCTCCTATTAGCTGGCAGTTTCAACCTCAGCAAACTGACTGTCCATCTCTCCATCCCCCAAGCAAACACCTGTTGAGCACCTGCCACAGACACTGTCCCCTGACTTTGATCAGAGCTGCTGGGGACAAGCTCCTCAAAAGCAGAACTAGTGGGGGCGGGAGGTGTAAAATGTAAAGCCTCCTCCGTGTGTGTGAAGGTTCTGAAGAGCAGAGGGGATCCCCGGGGGCGGGAAGCGAGGAAAGGAAGGCAACGGCGGCAGGAAAAAGCTGGTCAGATCCTCAGTCAGCACCCTCCAGCCCCCGCCGCATTGAAGTCATTTGAGACTGTCTCCAGTTGCCCCACCTCCTCCTTCGGTGCCCTTTCTTTCCCTCTGTGACTCTTTCTCCCTCCCAATTCCTGCACCCAACACCCTCCTGCCCTTTTCAAAGTTATTCTCAGAGAAAGATGTAGAAACCATTAATGCTAAGGTAGTGAAGACTTCTCAGCCGGGGTACCTACCAGCAGATACCTTCAGGAGAAGCTTACAGACAGGGGGATGATCCCGTGCCATTTCTATTCATTTAGCAAATGCTTGCCAAATTTCTAGACAGGCCATGTAATCTGGAATTACCCCAAATCTGCAAGTGACTGCTTCCCCTTGTCCCCCACGTCACTCCTGCTAGTGTTTCAATGGTTGCGAGTAAACCACAGCCATGAATGTGCTCCCAGCCATGAATGAGCGCAAAGGCTTGAGCTGTCCTCTTTGGTGTCCCACAGGCACAGACATCAACGGGGCCCTGCAGAGGGCCATCAGGCTGCTCAACAACTACGTGGCCCACAATGACATTGAAGACCGCAGCGTGTCCCTCATCATCTTCCTGACGGATGGGAAACCCACCGTCGGGGAGACCAACACCCTCAAGATTCTGAACAACACCAAGGAGGCCACGCGAGGCCAAATCTGCATCTTCACCATCGGCATTGGGGATGACGTGGACTTCAAGCTGCTGGAGAAGCTGTCGCTGGAGAACTGTGGCCTCACACGGCGTGTCCACGATGAGGACGACGCGGGCTCACAGCTCATCGGGTCCGTTGTCTGCCCTCTTGGGACAAGGAGGGGCTCAGAGCGGGGTTGAGGGGTGGGTTCCGTGAAAGACTCAGAAGTGAGGATGTCTGGCCGCCCCTTAACCTCAAGTCTGCTGGGCACGATCATAACTCATGACACCAGGAGACGTCATGCTGTGTTTTGAAACCAGGCAGATCTGGGTTCAAGTTCTGGTCCTGCTTTGTGACTTCAGGCAAGATTTAAGACGGTCTGTGCCTCAGTTTCCTCATCTATAAAATGAGGATTATGATTGATTGACAGAATTTAATGAGAAAACCTGTGTAAAGTATGGGCGAGATGGCGCTCACGTGTAAGGGGTTCTTTAGCTCTTGTGGTTATATTGTCTCCTTGACGTTTCAAAGAGCTTTCTAGGTTATTTACTCTAATTCTGCCCTCTGGGGTAGGTAGGAAAAGTAGTGTTATCTTCTTTTTGCATACTAGTTAAAATGATCACGTTTTTATTTTGAAGCAAAATGACCAATTAAAAATGGCCACTGATTATAGTATTTTTTGAGGTGGAGAAGAAACTGGAACTTAGGTCTTCTAACTCAGTTTAGTGTCTCCCCCCAGACCTCATGGTGCCAAATACTGGGTGTGCCTTTGTCGTTGGTCTGAGGAGGTGTCGACCCCCAGTTCAGCATTATGCCCTTTAATCTGCTTTGTGGCACAGATAGTATATACTTAAAAGGAAAAGTGAGGTTTGAGTAGATTTATAGCTATTTAAAAGCCATAATCAAAGAACATTCATTAATGAGAAATCTTAACTGGAGGTCTGTAAGGTGGGCAATAAAGATAAGTCCTTGGTGTGGGGCTAGCCACCATTTTTCCCCAGCATTTTTGTCAAAGATTTAAATAAAAATACAGATTTTCTTTCCACATTTTCAAAATTATTCAAAACTACATTCAAAGAGAGAGAATTGAATGCATTGTATAATAGAATTGAGATTCACTGTGTTCATAAGCAAAAGCAATTACTTTGATACAGACCAACTGCACTGTCACACTAGTCAAAGCACTATCCATACCTAACATTTATCAAGAACCTACAATATGCCAGGCATTTCTACGTGTACTACACATGATCCTTGCAGAAATCCTGGGAGTGGGTGTAGCACAGTAAAGACGAGCTGTCGTGCGGATGACTCTCCCCTGTAATAGTCCGGACAGGCTGGATTCCGCTCCAGTAGGTCATTCAGAGACCCAGGTTCCATCCATGTTATTGCTCTACACCCCTTAGGTGTCATCTTTCACTGTGAGGTTGAAGTTAGGTCACTACCACTTCTGTATTCCAGCCCCAAAATGGAGGAAAGAAAAGAAAGGCAGAGAAAGCTGTTCTGTTGTAAGCAAGCATCGTGCAGAAGTTGTGTGTATCACTTCTACTCATACTCCATTGGTGAGAACATGGCCACGTTTGGCCACGGTGGAAGCTAAGAGATGTAGTTTGTAGCTGGATGGGCGTGTGCCCAGTTAAAACTCAATTATTATGGAAAAAAAGGGGGAGAATGGGTTTGTGGAGACAGCTAGTAGTCTACCAAAGTAGTTACTCTTAACAGTCCAGTTTTACAGAGGAAGAAACTGAAGTTCAGAGAGGTTAAGTCATATGTCCCAAGACACAGCAACGTTGTGGCTGAGGTGGAAGTCTAACTCCACAGCCCGTGCTCTCTAGATCTTTGGAAAGGGGATTTTAATTGTCTCCTTACTCAGCAAAAACCAACCGTATGACATAATTAGGAGAAAAGCTAAAGCAAGCAAATGCTGCGTTACACAAAAGTGCGGTGTCAAAGTCAAGGTCAGCTTTCTCAAGTATAACGGGCTGGTTCAGGTGCATCTGGACCATGTGTTTGGTTCTAAGAAAAATGTGGTAAGAGGCCCTTTGAGAAACGTGGGTGTGTACAAAGGAAAGTTCCCAAGAGTGGTTAGGGCTTCCTGAAATTGTGTCTTATGAAGAATGGTTATGAGGGGCTGGCCTGGTGGCACAGCAGTTAAATTTGCATGCTCCGCTTTGGTGGCCTGGGGTTTACTGGTTCGGATCCCGGGTGCAGACATGGCACCACTTGTCAAGCCATGCTGTAGTAGGCGTCCCACATATAAAGTAGAGGAAGATAGGCACAGATGTTAGCTCAGGGCCAGTCTTCCTCAGCAAGAAGAGGAGGATTGGCAGCAGATGTTAGCTTAGGGCTAATCTTCCACAAAAAAAACGAATGGTTATGAAATTGGGGGTCGATGAGGCTACATAAAAAGACTTCAAGGAGCACATAGCAGTGTTTGTCCAGCATCTAAATGTCACTGTTTTCCCAGCATCTAAATGTTGAAGATGGGTTAGACTAGTTCATGCTGTGTTGCTCCAGAAGCAAAACTGAGACCAGTGGGTGGAAATTGGAGGGAGGAAGATCTCAATCTACTACAGGAGCTTCCTCCTTCTCATCAGAGCAGTTGAACAGAAGCGAGGAAGCCATGTGAGGTAGTGAGTTCCCTGTCACCAGGAGTGTTCAAGCTACTACTTCATGGGCTCCTATCAGACATGTTCTGCTGGACAGAATGCTGGACTTGATTGCTTCTACGATCAGATCCACCCCTCTGACAGTCCATAATATCCTTTAGGACCTGCCCGCAGCCAGGGCAGGGCCCTGATTCTCTCTCTGTCTTTCCACTCCAGGTTCTATGATGAAATCAGGACCCCTCTCCTCTCTGACATCCGCATCGATTATCCACCCAGCTTGGTGGAGCATGCCACCAGAACCCTGTTCCCTAACTACTTCAACGGCTCAGAGATCATCATTGCCGGGAAGCTGGTGGACAGGAAGATGGATCAATTGCACGTGGAAGTCACGGCCAGCAATAGTAAGAAATTTGTCATACTGAAGACAGACGTGCCCGTGGGGCCGCACAAGGTTGGGAATGGTGTCACGGGAAGCTCCAGGCCCAAGGGTGACGGCAAGGAGGACCCCAACCATCTGGAGCGTCTTTGGAGCCACCTGACCACAAAGGAGCTGCTGAGTTCCTGGCTGCAGAGTGATGACGAGCGGGAGAAGGAGCAACTGAGGCAGAAGGCTCTGGCTCTGGCCATGAACTATAGCTTCCTCATCCCGTTCACATCCCTGAAGCTGAAGAAATCCGCCCAGCCAACGGAGAAACTGGAGGACACCCATGGCATGTCGGCCGCCATAGGGCCGGAAACCGTGATGCAGAGCCTGAGAGGCGCCCCCCTGCAGCCAGGTAATGAAACCCCAGTGATGGCAGAATGGCAAGAACCAAATATGTCCTTTCTGACTGCTTTTCAGGCCAAGGTCACCTTGGCAATAGTTTGTCTTATTTTATAAACAGTCACTCTGCATGCAGCTTTTATCTTCAGCGAGTGTGTTCGATTGTTGTGTTTGTGTTGTTTTAAACTGTCGATCTCTGTAGAGAAATTAGAAAAGGTGGCATTTGTCTTAGAAATGGTGCCTGGTGAAGTCAGTAAATCATCGATGTCAGTATCAGTAAATCATCAATATTGAAGGCCAACCATGCCCAGGCATTCCCAGAGGCACCGAGATGGGCAAACAAATAAACAAACGTTCATTTTAAGTGCCTTTCAGCATTTTTATGGACTTCCCAGTTATGTCCTTTTAGGTGTGGGCTTGATTTTATTTTCCTGAGAACATATGGGAGGAGCTAAGTTCTGGATTCTTGAGAGAATTCACCCTTTAATGCTTATCACTCAGAATCTGGACAGAAACTGTCCTTATCAGTCTCAATGCCATTTTGTTGGACGGAGTTAGGAGCGACAAGAACAGGAGAAGTAGTTCAGTCAAGGGAGAGGATTGTGCTCAGTAATATCTGTTTGTGGAAAACAGTGTGTTTTTGATGCGTAACATTTTTATTAAATTCCTGGCTAGGTCACATCTCCAAAGGAGAAGGAACTGACATTAACCCGGGGCCTGCAAATGCTCTTTCGTTTATTCCTCCCACTCTAAACTCTGAGAAGCACCAGGCCATGGCAGAGAGAACATGAGCTTAGGATCCAGACAGCTGAGCTTCCGCTCGCCGACTCCCTTAACCAGCTGTGTGGTTCAGGGCGGGTTTCTGAACCTCTCTGAGCTTCTATTCCTTCATCTGTAAATTGTAGATAATAATGACTTCCCCAAAGGACTATTGCAAGGAGTAGATGGATGAAGTCTTTGGTACATCATGAGTGTAGGTCAGATACTCTCTCTCAAGACGAGTGCAGAACTAGAAATTTATTGCAAAGTTCCGACCCTGATGTAAAGGTTAAAATGATATGGTGCCTTTTTAGAAAGGGGGGAAGCTTATCTTGGCAAAACTTGTGCAATTTTAGTTGTGATGAAAAGTAAGTTGCATGACGCTGTTAGCTCATGCTACGAGATCCATGCCACGTCCAGGGAAAATGGCTTTTTGAGTAACACCTTTATTGTATGTCAGTGACTCAAATCTCAGTAGCTTCAGAAGAGATCGAACTCAAATGACAGGAGGCTCAGAGAGCCAAGGACACAGAGGAGGGAAGAACCGATCGATTGCTCTAAAGAGTTGTTTGAAATAGGATTTTCCTGAATCGTCAGCGAGGACTCAAGACAATCTTTCTTTTCCTAAAGCTCTGATGATTTTGCAATTTTGATTTTAGTCTTTTCGAGTGTCTGTGACAGCAGCCACTCACTGAGGCTCCTCACAGCAGCCCTCCAAACTGGGGAGTCCCTCCTCCTTCGTGGTCTGCCTACTTCTGCCGGTGTCCTGCTGGCCACAGACCAGTGTGGAGAAGGGGCCACTTGAAAACCATTGATACTTTAATCTTTAGTTTCCGTGAGGGACAAAAATCAGTGAAGAGGAGCATAATCTTCTTAATACATACAATTTGAAATAAGATATGCATTTTCATTACAGAAATTGATTTACTTTTAGGTTGTTCTTTCATTGAATATTTATTTTTGCCTGCTGCTTTATGAGTTGTACTTACACACGTGGCTGTGGACACTGGATTATAACTGTATCTTTTTTTTTTTTTTTACTTTTTTTGGTATTTTTTTTAAATTGTGAGAAAAAAAGAATACATAACAAAATTTACCGTCTTAACCATTTGTCAGGTAGCGTTCAGTAGTGTTGAGTATATTTACATTGTTGTGAAACAGATCTCCAGAACATTTTCACCTTGCAAATCTGAAACTCTGTAGCCATTAAACAACTCTACTTTACCCCTCCCCCCATAACTGTACTTTGAGTATGATAGAATATTTCCCCCTATTATATACACAGAAGTCACAGACGAGAAGAATATTATCTAATTTATAGGAGAATAAAATAATTAAGCCTCCACAAATTACACCTTCTCTTGTATGTCGTGAGGCCAAGCTCCTTCTTTAAAACAGAGGATGTTTTTAAATTGCCGCAAATGTATCTGAAAGCTGTGTTTTACTCATCTCCACGCTCTTCTCTCTGTACCTCTCACCTCATCCTCCTCAATGCATGAGAGTGGTTCTTTTCTTCCTTCTCCTTTCTAGGACCTGCTCTCAAGGAACCGCACAACCCAAGAATTAAAATCTCCAAAACATCAGGTAAAGGAAAGAATGTGGTTGTGTGTGATTTGAGAGTTTAGATGTCTAGAAAGTGGACAACCAGGGATTCCCAGAAACCGGTTAAAATACCAGCTCATAGAACAAGACACGATGACTCAGATTTATTTAGTGCAAGCCAGCGGCGGGAGGCAGTTCTAAGAAACAGGATCATCATTAAACCATTGCGTAGAAACACCATGAATAACACAGTGCCGAGGAGCCCGATGGAAGACTAGATGGAGAGCAGAGGCGCATTTTCATCCTTATTGAGCTTAAAAGGCATTTGTTTTAAAGATCTGAAGTCTACATGCCTCCAGTTTCTGGTGTTACAAATATTTGCAACTTGCAGATTTTTTTAAAAAAAATTTTTGTTCTTTTATTAGTTTCTTAATGCTTGGCTTTGAAAGGGAAGAACAGATAAGAATACCATAAAATTTCCTTTGGCCAACTTCCTGGGATTATAATAAAAATCCAGATGGAATAATAACACAAGGGCTGGGTTTTATTCTGAAGATGTACACATCTCCTGTGTAAGTCTTTATTATTGCCTTGCCGCTGATGTGCTGGACGTGCAAATACATGAAGCCAGGGACACCTTGGAGATTAGCGATGGGGATCGGAAACACACAGTCTCCAGTGGATGGCACGTGATTCCTCTGAACACCCACAGGCATTATGGAATGCAAGAAAAAAAAAAACCTTGTTCTTGGATGCTGCATGGAGTAATGGCTGTCAGATCTCTCCTCTCTTTTTTGAAGCCAGCAACATTTTTCCTTGTAAAGAGATTTGGAGGACCTAAGTAGGAATGATATGGTTCGAGCACAAGAAACTCTCGAACTGTCACATAGTTATAGTCATACTTAAAGAGTGCCAAAAATATGGACCAGGACTTTTATCTCCTCTGGGCTTCATTTTTTCCAACTACAAAAGACCAGTACCTTGTGTATCTTTATATGTTGCTATTCACAGGGTGCTTGAGGCATGAGATCAACCAGATTCTTTTAAGGGCCTTTCTGAGTCATGCTGGGGGCAGAAAGGGTTTTTCAGCAGTGACACCAAGGACATTAATTTGCTTGCAGCTTGAAAAGGCTGAAACTCCCCTTGCCCATACCCCCACCATATACACACGAGTATGCATACATGTGCATGTAAGGTAAAGAGGTGGTCAGAAACATGTAGTGTTTGGCATATAAATTAGAGGGAAACTAAATCTCCAATCTCTTGAGAGAAGAGAATTGATGTGGACTCTCGGGAAATATTTTGTCTGTACCATAAGAAGCAAGGTTGTTCATTTTAGTGGAGGTGAAAATGAGGAGAATGGACAAGAAACAGTGCCAGCCAAATGTTGTGGTCTTGTCTGTGGATGAAAATTTGAGAGCAATAAAATTAGTCTGACCCAGAGGAGGGTTTTCCAGTGACATGGCTCACTGTACTGCCTAACCTCCTGGTGACTCTGTGTGCATCACTTGTCACCAGCCCTAAACTGGGCTTGCTCATGGCTACTGTCATGCAAGGATTGCGTCCATCTGGCGCTGTGAATGTCTCAAGTGCCGTGGTCCTCTGGCCCTAGGAGAGGAAGTCTTCTCATCCACGTCTCGTCACCCGGGTTGTCAGAGGAGGAAGGAAATTACTGGGGGGAGGCCACACAGGAAACCGAAGAAGTGGGCTCAGCAATAGTGGGGGGTGTATGGCGATCCTTCTCTTCCTTTCTGTGAGCTGCTTACCTGTCAAAGCTTAGTTGTCTATGTTTGACTGAAGTGTGGTGAAAGGAGTGTTATCTTTGAATACAGGGGACCTGAGTTCAAATACTCACTTCACCCACACTAACTGTATAACTTTGATGAGCCAGTTCACCTACCCGTCATCTTCCTCATTTAGACACTGAGGATGGGTGACAGGATTAAATAAATAATTCACAAGAAACTAGAACAGGGTACTTACACATGGAAAGCACCCAATGAATGTCTTTTCTTTCTTTTTCTCACCGTTTTTTCCTGCTGTGGCAGTGGACGGAGATCCTCATTTTGTTGTGGATTTCCCCTTGAGCCAGCTCACTGTCTGCTTCAACATTGATGGGGAGCCCGGGGACATCCTAAGGCTAGTCTCTGATCACATGGACTCTGGTAAGTTCTGCCCTCCATCGTGGCCTCTGGGCAAGGGCAAGGTCAGTATCATGTCCCCCTCTGTTCCTAAGATGGACAGAAGGGGCATGTATAGATGCTCAATGAGCATTGTTGATGACTAATTAGAGGAAATGGACTGTGTGCTGGGCTGGACTCAGGAAGAATGCGTTGGAATCTGTGCTCTCTGACTTAACTCATTTTGTGGTCTTGGGCACTCGATTCTGAAGCTTCTGTTGTTTCCTTTGTAAAATGGAGATAGTTATTCCTACTCTGCTGGCCTCACCAGACTATTGTAAAGACCAAATTAAATAATGGATAGGAAGTTGTTTTGTGAATGCACAAGTGGTATATAAATTCGTGATATACTGTTGTTATGTCTTTCCATTCAAAAACTCTAATGGTGGGCAGGATGGAGTCCTAAACTCATCTCTCAGTTCCTCGATGATTTAGACGTGAAGCTCAGATGTTAATTACACGGCTCTATGTGCAGTGAACACCATGTGACGTGGGCTCTGATCGTTTTCGTTCTTTAGAGGGACTGGATAAAAGAGATTAGTGTAGGAAAAGCTTCTTGAGCTACATGCAGGTAACAATGCCTCAGGGATGGCCATGTGGATGGCCACACAGCCCAGCTTTGTGAGGACAAGCTTTGGGATGGACATTCTGGGACCTCTCAGTTCTGAGAGGATGAATTTCTTGACGGCTAGGTGACAGAGCATCCCACGGCCAGGTAACAGGTGTGATCTAACTATGTAATGTTTGATCCTGGGCTCCTTACCCACATTCTCTTGCAGGGCTTCCTACCCTTCAAGCTAAATCTTGACTTGTTTCTAATTCAGAGGGCTCAGGACTGAGATGGAGCCTAAATGGACCCGTCTCTGGAGGTGCCCACCCCCAAGGAGCCGTTCTCATTGTTTCTGTGTTCAGCGTGGTGTCCATGATCGAAAACTCAGTGAAAGATGCTTGGAGCCTTGAGGCTGAAGTACCTGGGCTCTGCTCATGCTGGGATTTCTCCTTTCCCCTGACCCCTTGCCCCAGGAAAGGCAATGTTCTCCTGGAATGTCCAAGGCATTGCTAGTCAAGACTCAGGGGAAGATTACCCCCAAAGCAGAGAAAACAAGAGTTCATTATATAGCAATCTTTTATTATTGCAAATTGCCTCTTTGCCTGAGAGCAAAACACATTTTCCATGCGTCGCCTGATTGAGTCCCAAACATCTCCTGTGGAACTTCCATCTGTGTGTTATTCAACCAGCCAGACAGCATGGAACCCGAGGGGCCTGGCTCACGGGCCTTACCCCAGTCTAGAGAAGCTGCAGTTGTGTTAATGAGGATGAAGGAGAAAAGAAAGGCGTTCTATTTGATGGCAGTTGACGGCTTACACACATGCCACCTCCTGCGATCCTCATAACAATTCTGTTAGGCTGTATACCCCCATTCTACAGATGAGGAAACTGAGGCCCAATTTTTTAAAGTGACTTGTCCAGGGATGCACCCCTAGAAAGTGGCAGAACTTGAGTTTTTGGACTAAAAATCATTCTGATCTTTGCATTAGACCACACCGCTCAGTGGCATCACAGGATCTCCACATGAGGATCCGTAGGAAGTGGTAGATGCGAAATATGTGTCAAGGCCACACAAGACTTTATGTCACCATGGCCAGATACTGGAATGAAAGCAAACATGTAAACCCCCTTCTATGATATTGTGACCCAAACCTACGTCATCCTTCCACTACCCCAAGATACTGGTTAAACATGGGGAAAAAATTCACTCCTACCTTCGCGCATGCATTCATTCATTCATTCAGTAGGCACTGAGTGGCGGCTATGTGTGAGTCAATGTTCATGGTGCTAGAGATACAAGGTAGGGCCAGAGGAGGGAGGAAATTCTGATTAGACACCTTTAGGGTGAAAGTGGGATCATTTTTCTAACCATTGTCCTATTCCTCTCCGTCTTCGAGGTGTGACAGTGAACGGAGAGTTAATCGGGGCCCCCGCGCCTCCAAACGGTCACAAGAAACAGCGCACTTACTTCCGCACCATCACCATCCTCGTCAATAAGCCCGAGAGGTCTTACCTGGAGATCACGCCAAGCAGAGTCATCCTGGATGGTGGGGACAGGCTGGTCCTCCCCTGCAACCAGAGCGTGGTGGTGGGGAGTCGGGGGCTGGAGGTGTCGGTGTCCGCCAATGCCAACGTCACCGTCACCATCCAGGGCACCATAGCCTTCGTCATCCTCATTCACCTCTACAAAAAGCCGGCACCCTACCAGCGAGACCACCTGGGCTTCTATATCTCCAACAGCAAAGGCCTTTCCGGCAACTGCCACGGACTGTTAGGTAGGCGGCTGCTCTTCCTGACGCTGGGTGCAGGGGACCCAGTTCAGCTTCCCAAGGCGAAGCTCACGTTGCCAATGTCTTTAGCTGGATGGAGAAATTCAGTAGGAATGTGGTGTGCATATACATGTATATGGATCATGAAAATGTATTTCTTGCCTGCTGACGACTTTCTGGAATAGGAATGGGCTTTATAAACCAATTCTCGCTGGCCTTCTGGGAAAGCGAGTAAAGAAATTGGGAGTAGTCCGCTCAGGTCTGGCTCCTTACCTCTCAGCAAGAAGATACCAATAAAGGGCCGTCCCCAGCCCAGGAGCAGCGAGAGAAGCGTGTCCCTGTTGTGGGCGCCCCCCACATGGCTGCGAGCAGCAGCGGCCGCTCTGGCTGGCTTTATTCACTGTGCAATCTCACATGGGCCCCTTGCCCACAAGTGAAGAGGGAGCTGCTGCCAGGGCTCAGTTTAGAAAGCAGGATTTCCTGGCACTTGAGCTGGAGCGCCTGGCTGCAGAGCCTGAGCTGCCTCACACAGACGCAGACGCGTGTTCCTTCAGCCTTAAACGTGCCCTCACTTGACCTGGAGAATTCTGATGATGCATCTCAGGAACTAACCGAACTGACTGCTCCCCACACCCTCGGTACCTACCCACGAATGCAGAGTGTGGACGGGGACTATGACTGGGGAGGGCGGGGCAGACCTGACCTTCCTCCCTGTTTATCTGCCCCCATTTTGTCCTCCTCTCAGCAGACCTTGGTTGTCTCTATTTGTTGGTCAGGCAGCTTTCCAGTGTTAGCACCTGGGCAGCTTTCAGAAGTGGAGGCTGCCACAAAGAAAACCTCAGGTGTCTCCTCTCCACATCCTGTAAAACTCGTGTTCTGTCACTGACACTGGGAAAGGTGTATGTGCCTTCTGGCAGAGTCCAGCCTAGGATCACAGTCAATCAAAAACCTTCCTGCCTCGGGGGTCAGCCCGATGCTGTAGCAGTTAAGTTCCCACGTTCCACTTTGGCGGCCCGGGGTTCGCCAGTTCGGATCTCAGGCACAGACTTATGCAGTGCTTATCAAGTCATGCTGTGGCAGGCATCCCACACATAAAGAGAGGAGGTGGGCGCGGATGTTAGCTCAGGGCCAATGTTCCTGAGCAAAAAAAAAAAAAAAAAAAAAAAAAAGAGGATTGGCGGCAGATGTTAGCTCAGGGCTACCTGCTCTGTTATCAGTAATTCCCCTTTTCTGGGTAACACATGCATATTGGCTGTTTACTGGTGGCCTAAATGGAAGTTTGATTTTTCAACAGTGTCTCCAGCACTTGACTCAGACCTGATGCTTTTTTTGTCCTCTCAGGTCAGTTCCTGAACCAGGATGCCAGAGTCGCAGAGGAGTCTGCCAGGCTCAGCAAGAACCTTACTAGTCCTCTGTTCCCTAAGGCAGGCGAGAGGCCTGAGACCATCCTAAAGGTGAAAGGGCACCAGGTGCCGGTGGTCTGGAAGCAGAGGAAAATCTACAACGGGGAAGAGCAGATAGACTGCTGGTTTGCCAGGAACAACGCCGACAAACTGATTGATGGGAAGTACAAGGATTACCTGGCCGCCCATCCGTTTGACTCAGAGACTGCGTTTGGCCTGGGAACATCCAGGGCACTCTGACACTAGCAGCCTTAACGTAAGAGCCCATGACAGGGAAATGGTCTTCTGGGACACCATGGTGCAGTTCTTGTCGCTTGCACATGCCTCGTCTCTTGGCCATTGGCGGCAACCCATGACCTACCCCTGGCGGCGTGTAGGTCCAACGTCTGCTTGAGCAAAGGGTAGGGTCAGGAAACTGAAGTGAAAATGTTATTTCCTTCTCCTTCCTCCTCCTGCCTCCCCCTCCCTATCCACAATAGAGAAAGATGGTGGCATCAAGGGGGAAGGCCTAGTTAAAGCAAGAAGTCTCTAACTTGTACCAACTGGCTTGTCCGTCTCATGGCTACCAGGAGGTAACTCTGATGAGGGAAGATTGTGCAAAGTTTCTTTCTCTGTGGAAATGACCAAGTTTGGGTACTCTGTTCGTTGCCTTATACTAATGCTTAGGAACCTCTCCTCTTAGTACTGGGGCCTTCTCCAGATGTGTGGCCAACCTCTGCCTCAGGGGAACCTCTCACTGGGCCCAGGCCACGGGTCATGAAATAGCATGTGGATTTGATCACTGTAAACAATTAAGTTGTTTCTTTGGAGAGGATTTTCTTCTGCTGTGGTAACTTGCCCTTGAAAATAAGTTTTCCTTTTAAAAAAAATTGATTGAAAAGAGAAAATCTATATCCCAGATGCCGTTATCTTTCTGATGGGCTTTATCAACCACTTGACTTTGCTGTTGGATAGTCTCCTATTTATTCCAGGAAGCTAAGTGCTTTTAATAAACAGGACAGCCCCATGTGGATGTTTTGTACTGGCCTGTCTTGGTGCTGGCGAGCCGGCCAAATGACAAATTTTTCACTTGGCGCTCTTCCGCCTTTGTCATAATTCCGGGTCTTACTTGCTTGCGGTCCTCCAAGAGGTGGTAAATTAGGTTCTCGCAGGACGGGAATGGAAGGTGGAGCCAGCCCAGAGCATGTCCATCAGCCTCCCTACAGGAACCAACTTTCACATCCTCAACACGTGGGGTGAACATGCTTACAAAATCTAAGAAGCCTTCCCACCTCTCAAATAGGAAATCACCTATGAGTGAGGGCTTTGGTTCCAGAACGTGGACAATTCTGATCCTATAGGGAAAGGTTAAAATCAGTGGGGGCTTCAAAAGTCCGTGACTGTCACCCTTCTCCTTGCAGACACCCTCTGTTAAGCTCGTTCATGTTATCAAGGGGAGGTGAGGCTGCTGATGGCATTGGTGCCCCTTTCTCATCCTCCTCACCAATTCTTGCTTTTTGCTCTCTTTGGCCATCTCAGGATCACTCAGGTTCAATAAACCTCATCCTCATGGCGTGAGGAGTGTGGTCAGGATGTAGATGGATGCAGGGGGCACTTGAGCCAGATGGCGGAGAAAGAAAGCTTTGGGTCAGAGAAATAGAATATTTTGATGTGAGACTGAATTAAAGAAAGGCTTTTGTGCTGGCTTCACAGGAGGTTTCTTCCAGGCGGAGCGACTCCACATAATGCACACTTAGCACTTGGAGAGAAATCAGAGTCAAGAAAAGTGTTTCTCATAGTTACTCTCCGATGGGAAACATCTGAGCAGCAAAATGACATCCACATGTCCCTGTTGGACCAGGCGGCTTCAGGAGATTAAGTTAGTGCGGGAGCAGTTTTCAGTTCTGTCTCAGAGTCTTAGTCTCTGTCCACTTGGTGAAACCACCCAACGATGGCCTGCCAGCTGTGGTATTTTTGACTCGCATCTTCCCAAACTCAGCTGCCTGTTTTCATGCCAGCAAGGTGAAGACACCAGCCCAGGCTGCTGGCAGATGCTTCCATATTTTAGAGCTCAGAGCAGGAGGAAAAGCCTGAGCCCAGGCTAGCCCGTGCCTGGTCCCGCTCCATGGGGACCTTCTGATTATGAAATCTCAGTCCCAGCTGGGCAGGCATCCTGTGAGCCTAGAGGCCAAGCTGTTGTGTTGGCACTTGGAGCAATGATCTGTGATCCAGGTGTGGGCCTCGAAGCTGCAGAGAGCAGGGTATTGCTAGTTATTACCAGTTACTACTGCTTCTGTGGCTACTTATCCAAGAGCAGAGAAAAATGTTCCAGTGGGCAACCCATCATTTACTCTCACGCTCCAAAAAAAATTTTTTTTAGTATCAAAGTTGAACTTTTACTTTACCGTTTTTACTTTAGACAAATACCACTTTTTTTCCTCCTCCTCTTCGGTTATCTATCATTTTTCACTGCAAAAGGTATTTACCATTAAAATTTCTATTTTAGCCAGAAACTGTGATATCTCTGAGCCCGAAATTCAAACACCAATGTTAGACTTAGGATCTTTTAATTTGACTGAAAATATTGTATTTTCTGTTGGCCATATGGGTTTTGAAGAGCAAGCTCTCTTAAAGTCAATGTGGAGGAAGGGAGGAATTCTCTTCTCAGATGGGGAAACTGAGGCAGGATGCACTTGGCTGATATGTCCCACATTATATAAGACTTAGAGCAGGGCCAGGCTGAACCTCCAGAATTTATTTTGTTGGCTTTGACATGATTTCACCATCTGAGCAAGCACTGATTTTCCTTGAGCATTTATACATAGCAAGGGGGGACCAAATGAGCAGTTGAATGAGATTGAGAATTAGGTCGCAATTAGAGGAGCTAGAGCGCAGGTTATCATCAGGGCCAGCGTTCATGAGTCAGAACAATGGCCAGCTAGGATCTTCAGTGTCTCCATCTCTGCATTCTCATATCCTCCCACATCTGAAAGACAGGCATCTGAATGGTCATCCTTTAGGGTCTCCTACTTTGAAGTTTCACATTCCCAAAGTAAAGTGGGCTGGACATTCTCTACCTGCCATTCTAGGCGCTTCATCTTCTGTGACGCGGGCTACTGGGAAGTGAAAAGGGCACCTCTTTGTTCCTATCAGGTGTAACATTAAATCTTTAATTAACAGGTAACCTCACAGGTGGGTGAGGGACAGGATGGATTTCTTTACATTTATCTCTTGGCTAAACGGAATGCTATGGACTGAATGTTTCACCAAAACTCACATGTGGAAGTCTAAATCCCAGTGTGACGGTGTTAGGAGGTGGGGCCTTTGGGAGGTAATTAAGTCATGAGGGTGGAGCCCCCATGATGGGATTAGTGCCTTTATAAGAAGAAACGGGAGAGATGACCTCTCTCCTCTCCACCCGGTGGACACAGTGAGAAGACGGCGTCTGAGAACCAGGAAGTGGGCCCTCATTAGACACAAATCTACCGATGACTTGATCTTGGACTTCCAGCCTCCAGAAGTGTGAGAAATAAATGCTTGTTGTTTAAGCCCCCAGTCGATGGTATTCTTGATAGGGCAGCCCGAGCTAAGACACTGAATCACTCAAAATATAAATTCTGTTTCCTTTCTTCAAGCTATCCAGAATGTATTACAAACAATGCTCTCACTAAAATTTGAAGGACTCTTGGAACCATAAAAACATGGTCTGGCTAAAATAAACAGCAAATAAAATAATACAGCTAAGCAAATACTTAGAAATGTGTCTTTAAATATTTATTTTACTCACTTTAAAATAATAAATAGGGTACAAGAGAGTTCACATCCAGGAGACATTTTCCTTAAAAATTGGTAAGAGAATGACGTGTAAAAACAAACAACGTATTGATATGTTTATGTTTTGAAAATGGAATTAGGGCCGTAGAGAATAAAACTTGATGATGCTAACTGCACTGCTTGTTTGTAGGAATTTCTAAATTACATAAAATGGCATGTGGATGAAGTAGTGACATCCGAAGAATGTTAAAACAAAATAAAATCCCGTATAGAACAGCAAATGGACAGCGGCCATTCCTGACCTTTTATAAAACCATCAAATACATAGAGAAGTATCTTAAGCCTCCCAGTTCATCATTTTCTGGGGATCCTGGGATCCCAAAACTTTTACGCACACTGCCCATCTTCTTGCTCGGTGCTTCTTCCACTTGGCTCTGGGTCAAGCAGCATTTCTAGCTTGTGGTTTGGGCATCCCCACCTCCAGGTATGAGTGGTCCTGCCTGATCTTCCTTAGATTCCCACTGAGCAGTGTTAAATTCTGACTGGAGCAGCTGCTGATTAGAACCAACCCAGACACAGAACACGAGCGAGACCTCCCTGGGACGCTGTATTAAAGAGAAAACAAGCAAATTCTGAACCCAAGGGCGTGAAGTCAACTTCTCTGGGTTTGGCTTCTTTACCTGTAGAATGAAGGCACTTGACTAGATCATTTCTAAGATCCTATGATCTTTATCTTCTGCCTGCAGATGAAGAAACTTCCTGATCTTCCAAGGAATAAATGCAAAAGGATTCGTTTGTGACTCCAGTGTATTTCGAGGTCCAGGCCCAGGGATTCACAGGACAACAGACAAAGTTCATGCCTCCATGGAGTTCATGGTTTAAAGCAGAAGATAGAATGAATGCAAAGATTGAAACAGAGTGAGGAATCCTGTAAGACAGCTCTGCAGAGGGTTGTTACCTGAGCACAGAGGAGGCACAACTAGGGAGGGCGGAAGGTGTTGGGAAACCATTCTAAAGATGGATAGTGTTGAGCTGCAAGGAAGAAGAGCATATATGGAGGCACCCACATGAAATATTTTTTCTATAATGTTAGGCAGCTGGGAACCTTTTTCAAACTGAAGCCATCTTCTTGCCCCATTTGGTTTCAGACGGTGCACTGTAGATTCGTTGGTTATGGAGAACCCATGATGGATAATGCTTGGTGGAACCCCAGGTTCCTCGCTGCCTTGACCTTGTCCCAGATCTGTCTCCAGCCCTGCATCCACATCACCTGCTTCCTTCTCTCCCCTCCCGAGATACGGAGAATGCCTGGGGAAAGGCACAGAGCTCTACCATGGGTCCATTCAGTCAACAGGGCTCCTGCTGGCATCCAGCAAAACTTAGATCATCTGTTTTCCCTGAAGTGCATTGGCCTCAAAGGCTACTGCATTCTGCTTCAGCTTTCTAGACCAGCTCCTCCCACAGCTTCCACCGCAGTTTGCCTCCTATTTTGCTGAGAAAACTGCAGAAGGAGCTCCCTCGTTTACCATCTCCTATCAAATTGGCTGTGTTGTCACATGGCTCTATCATCTTCATACCCCCTTCCTTCCAAGTATAATTGTCTCCCTTCAGCCTGGATCCCCTTTCTTCTCACTTCCTCTGGGCATTTGCCTCCATTATTCTCTTTCTTTCTAGACTCTCCAGACACCTAGTCCCCATCGAGTTCTTCCCTCTTGACTTCAGAAGTCTCCTCTGGTCTGAAGCTGGTGTCCCTGATCGGGCTCTTAGGCTTCCATCTTTTCTTTTATTTCGGTGTCAGGCTTATGCTAGTAGTAGATATTTGAACTCTCATTTCTTTCCACCTCCTAGTCAGCTCCTTAACTCATCAGATTAAGCTTCTGTCTTCACCACATTGATGGAACTGTGTCTCAGATGTCACATTAGCATTCCCAATGTCCAGTTCCAGCGATAGCATCTTCCATCTCCATGCGTGACTCTTGGCCTCTTCCTCTTTGTTGAAATGCTGGACCCGTTTGCTTCTTTAATGTGATTAAAAATGTTTTTTCCTAGTCTCCTTTGCTGCATGTCTTTCCTCCTACAGTCTCTGGACTCACCCTGAGCTTCATCCTTGGTCCTCTGCACTTTCCAGTCTACATTTTCTCTCTCGGAGATCCCACCCAACTCATGGCTTCAACATCTGGCTCTGCATAGATGGCCCCGAATATAAATCTGCAGTGTTGCCTACTGGGGGCACTTCCCTTTAGTTATCCCAGCATTACCTCAAACTCGGGAATAAAAGCAAACTTTCCATCTTCAGAGTGTCTGTATTATTGGGATTTGGGATCTGGGATGAAAGGGAGCAGTTCTGGCAGGATCCTTTTCTATTTTGATTGTTGCAGATAAAGATGGAAGTGTGTGCGTGTGTGTGCGTGTGTGTGTGTGTGTGCGCGCGCACGCGCGCGCGCGTGCACACATACTGGTATATTTCATAGGCCAACTCAAAATCAGTTTTCATTGACCCACAGTTCTTCCTGAAAATTCTCTGTTCATCATGTTATTTTCTCAAAACAACAGCTGTGCTTGTGTAAGAGAAGGCCCAAAGTGCTGATGGCTCACTGGGATTTCTGGTTATATAAGATGAAAATCCCATGCACTAAGTTTATTGACATGTCGATTAAATCACTTCCTTGTGCTACAAGTACAAAATTCATTATAAATCCGTTTTAGTGTGCTTTCTTGAAATAAACAAATTTTATTTGAAGTGTCTAAGGGCAGTGTAGAAAATACTCCAGATATTTGAGTGTGAGTGAACGTCTTAGTGGAATATGGATACTCTTTTATCCTATTAAATTTCCTACTGGAAGTCTACCTCACATCGGTAAGCGCTATAAGTGTTCTAGAATGCTGACGTCCATCTCCTATTCTGAAAGTTCATGTGGAATGTTCCAGAGGAATCAAACTTTTCCAGAAGAAGGCAGAAACCATTCTAAGTCTGAAGGCTTGGCTGAAAGGTGAAATGTATTTGCTTTTGAAGAAGGCTGGAGCCCTGGAATATTCCAGAAACGAAAAGTTCTTCTCGACAACTTGTAGACCACCACTTACCCTTTCAGTCCCTTCATCTGCCTGCCCGGAAAACTAAAACAGAACACTTGGAGAACTTAGAAGACAGTATGAAACTTTGCATATGATTAAAGGACAATAGCATTTTAAATTTTTCATGCAATTTTCCCAGAATGCTTCAAAACAAATGCATTCACTTATTCATTCAACTAATATTTCTTGGGCACTATGTGGAGGGGAGAGAGTGTCCTCCCTTTGCCACCCTGGAGATACTGTTTTGTGTAATTAGTTATCAAAGATGACAGGCAGCACTGTGCCCTTACGAAGGTTCAGGTAGAATGTGCAGGAGTTTAAAAAGGAAGAGACTGTTCAGAGCCTGGGGGCGGATGCCTGGCATTTGATACAGGTCATACAGAACTGGTAACGGTTGGAGGAGAAAATGTCTGGCAGTATTTTACATAAGAACTTATTTGTTCTTAATAAAAACACTATAAAGGAAAGGAAAATAAATTGCATAGAACTGAAGTTTCAGGGAGACTGAGGGACTTGTGCTCATGGAGCTTGGGCAGCGGCCGTGGTGCCTCTGTGCTCTCGTGACACTGGGATGCCTCAGAGAAAACAGTGACTGTGGCGGGTTGCTGGACCCTGAGTCCAGGATCCCACCTGTATTGCAGGGGCAAAGATGAGAAAGGACAGCGAAGGGTGCTCTCTTACATGTCCCCGAATGCAGTGATTCAGTATTGCCTTTTCCCTCTAAAAGCAGGCGTCCACTCTGTGGAATGCTGGGCTGCTTTCTGCCTCTGGTCTGGGCACGAAGTGGGCAGGGAATTCCGCCAGGTAGAGACCACAGGATTAAGCAAGTCGCTGTCTGCTCAGAGGACATGGAAACACATCTGGGGAGCTCGGGCCGGGAGAGCCAGCTGGAGAGGCAGGGTCCCAACCCCCAATCCGGTTCAATACACAGAAATGGAGAGACAGAGATCACGTGCATATTCAGTCTCTTCTAAATGTCACCTGTCTTCGTTGGGAGAAGCCCTGACAATGCTGCTATTGACGTGATTAATGAGCCTCTGGGCTGCACCTGGCATAGAGAGAGACAGGCTGAGGAGGCAGAAGCGTGAGGACCTTCTCTGTTTCTCTGCCATGCGAGGGGGACGTGCCCTTGTTTCCACGGAGGAGATAAGCAAGTCTCCAGGAGAGCATATGCGTCTGGCAGGGAGTGAGAAAGGAAAGAGCCCAACAAAGACTGAGCTCTGGGGCCACAGGCCAGTGAGAGTTAGTTCCCAAGGCTGGAAAACAGGGGAATGGGAAGTGTGGGAAGAATCTCATGGCCCCGAGGTAAATCACTTGAAAAAAACGTCGCTGGGGTCACTGCCCAAGCTCATTTGCACATCCTCCATTCTCACAGTCTGGATGAATGAAGCGAAACGGAATACGAACTGCCCGTATTTAGACCAGGGACCAGGTTTCTGGGGGTCTCCCTGAGATTCTGCTGGCGTGCCCCTTGCTTCTGTTTCCCACGCAGGGCAGGTGCACATTCCATCCCTCCTCCTCCTTTCTGTCATGCCCTTTGTCTGGGGTCCCCTCACCCCACAGCCCCAGAGCCACGGGGAATTCAGGTCCCATCCCCTGTGTCTGATCTGCTTGCTCACGCCACGCCCCCCCCCCCCCCCCCCAGCTCTTTCCAACCCAGGCACCTCATCCTAGAGTCTGGAGGGGGCAAGAGGGTGGGGGAGGTAAGGATGCAAGTTCCCAATAGTTAGGGAGCCAACAGGGGTCTTGACAGATCATAACATCTTTTTTTTTCTTTTGCTTTACTTTCCTGAATGTATTTCATAAACTCACATAAATTTGCCAAGTTATGTATACGGGATGCTCCTTGATCCTTTCTAATAATAATAAAAGCAAACACACAGACACCAAGAAATAGCCTAAATGGCCGTCAGAAGGTGGCCATGTCCATTCATTATGGGCATGTTAATACAATGGTTACAGCTATTAAAATGAGGTCGATGGATGTGTATTAATACGGAAAGCTGTCTAACGTACATGAAATTTAAAAACAAGTTGCAGAACAGTATGGATGGGAGGGTCCTATTAGATGACAACACCTTGATGCTTAACATCTTTTGAGTCA